GCCAGTGGGGGTCTGGCTAACACAAAGACCGAGACCTGCCAGTAGCTGTGCCTCCCTTTCTCATTGTCCCCCACCCTTCATCGAGTAGCAGCAGAGGCTATGGCCAACACTCTCCCACACACCACACACAACCCACTCGCGCTCACACTCACACCCGTGTTGGTCATAGACCCCGCTAATACCGATCAGGGGTATCCAGAGGACTATCACAGTCCGTTGGCACTAGGTGCGCTGCAGGCGGCCATGGGGCATGAACCCACAACCTCCTGAATGCCACTTGCATGCCTAACCACTGAGCTAGGCCGCTGGATCCAATAAATAATTTAAACTAATGACTAGTAAAACAATAATTATAAAATAAACAATACTAATGGCATATAAAGATATATTCCCTACCAATAAATAAACATAAAACTCATAATCACTATAAATTAAACAAAAAAACATACCCCCCGCTATACCGCACTACAGCCTTCGCAAATACAAACCCCAAATACAGAAATAGACCATCACACCCCAAATCCTCACAACACAAACAACAAGCTACACACCTATACACCATATAGACAACACCTCACGTACCAGTTATGGGATATGACCCCTCGCAAAACGCATTCGAAAAAAAGGAAACACACACACACACACACACACGAAAAAACACCCCAAACGTTTTACAAAAGAGACACTAAGGTAACATATGAAACGACGCCCACGCAGCACCTCATCGAAATGACACATCTGACAAATCGAAGTACAAACGTGCACGCAAACACAACAGACAAACCGCGACACTCCCTGCCTCCTTCAGAGCCAAACGATCTCCAAAAAACGACGAACTGATGCACATCGAGACAAGAACAAACCCAGATGACCGCTCAAGCTCCCTCCGCACCGCTGGCAATCTCACTACCCCCTTCCCTAGACAAGAACGAAAAATACACGCACTATCGTTAAAAGAGCGCCTATCCCAGATACGAAAATCAGCATCCATACCCAACACCCCCCAACCAAAAAAACTTACGCTTCCCCCMCCCCCCCCCTTGAATGGAGCCATCTCGGCCGCCCCCACCCTATACCATCCTAGCTACACCAAAGCATGGCGCACACTGTATTAAAACACATGACACATACTCATGGCATGCACGCCTCACCTCACAAGAACTGCCTCCAGAAACGCTTGGCTGCAGACTACCCTGCGCAATACCACGCACATACAAGCTCGCTTGGAAGCTGACCTGCAAGCGCACCTATTGCGTCTCTTCTCCCACGCCTTCCTTGCACTGGCACGCAACCTTGCTAACTGTTCTTCCTCCTGAGTCTGGTTTGGCACACTGCAGTGCCCTTCACGCTGAGCTTGCCCTGCAGGCTATGTAACATTACGCTGCTCGGCTACGATACGAGCTATCCTGGCGACTGATCTTCCAGCGACACCAACCATGACCCCTCAGGTATGGAAATGTAATGCCTTCTTCCACCTACAACCCCCTGACGACCTTTATCCCCCCAACCCCTATGCTAACAGGAGCTTTAACAAAGCTTATCCCTCTGATGAGCTGCTATGGGTGCTAGGCGGCGAAAAGCGCGCGTAAGGGCGTGCACCCCCCCTACGGCTGGGCATTGCCCTTTCCTAATTCCTAACCCACTAACTTTAAACAACCTAATCCCTGCTCCTATAATGCAACACATGTCCCCCATAGCTGAAATGCTATCTAACACAATCCTAATGCACAATCTTGAGTTGGGTCCTGTTTCCCACATTCTGTGGGATAGCTGTGTTATGTACACAACCTGCCCCCCCCCCCCCCCCAACACACACACACACACAGAGAGAGAGAGAGAGAGAGAGAGAAGTACATAGATGAATATATAGTTCTATGTTGTGTTGCTCTTGGAAGGATTCCGGGTTTTATCTGCGTGCATTCTGTTATTATGCAGTGAGCAAGAGATCTGTGGATGTTTGAGCCAGTCCACGGCTTGTAGAATTTCGAAGTTGTCAGCGGAAATCCTTGAGAGCTGCAAGGCCAATCATTGGAACTCGAAAGATCAAGAGGAAACTGGAATGTGTTATGTGATGTGTGATGCTTGTGGTAGAACTTCGTCTGTGTGACATGTTTGATGACAAAAAATGGGATTTGCAGTTTTCGGTGATTGACTTTTGCGTGCATGTGAGCGGTGGGGCAAATCAATGCAGATAGAGAGTAAACAGAAGTATGCAGCATGGAAGGCAGCTGATATTCGAAGAGCGATCGACAAGGGCCTAACTCCGCGGCCTGGACCACCCATAAAGGACGGAGACGAGGAAGCGGAAGACGATGAGGTAAGCTCTCTGTGCTCTCATTCCTGATGTGCCTGAAAAGGATCTTTTACTGTTAGAACTATGCGGGTTTCTTTCTTTCTTTCTTTCTCTTTTTCTCTTTTTTTTGTTTTGCCGAAGCAGGCATTTTCCGTAAGACTGGAAACTGGATCTAGTCTCCGTCACATCAGATACGCACACAATGCTTACCTTCGTCATACGGTCAAGGGACCCGTTTTTTTCCCAGAACTATGCGGCTTTTCTCTGCCGTGTAAGCTGACGAGGCGACACATGGTGTCTTGATTTGATCTTCAAGCTTTGCATCGTCTATGTGGAGTCAAAGTTCGAAACAAATCAAAGAAGAAAGGGGGGCGGAAAAGAGAAAGGACAAAGCAATTGAAATCATGGTTAAAGGAAAAAAAAAAAAAAAAACAAACAGAAAGCTGAAATCAGTCTTGCAAATTCACACTCAAACATGCATGCAACAGATGAGAATAACTTGGCGCTGTGCACCCAACTCAAACTCGGAGATATGGTAGCT